TATATATATATATATATATATATATATATATATATATATAAACACAATCTGCAAAATTGAATGTAGTTAAAGGATAAACAATTATCTAAAATATGACAATATAGATTATGTTATAACATCAATTACATCATAATAAATAATCTAATGTTATAGAAAATGACGGGTTGTTGTACCGTGGGGTGCAAAAACAGAAAACCTATTTTTAACAGCAAAACTATAGCTATGCATTCATTTATTAAATAATATTTAAATTATATTTAAAATAATAGTATTTAAATAATAAGTGCATAGCTTTGTTTTTGTTCTGAGCATACATATATTTATGTTTACATATGTTTACTCATACATATATACATGTGTTATGTATATATATTGTTATATTTCTATATTTTATTGTGCGAATATGTTAATTATGTGTTTATGTCAATAGTTCTTGGAAATTAACATTTATTGAATAAAAATACTGCTAAAATATTTATTTGCTTGTGTTTTCCCCATTTCTGTTTCGCGCTTTCTTTTGCATACATAATCACCGCTCATTGGCTACGCCATTTTGTATCCAATCAATCAAAACTTGGAGCAGCCTTAGCCAGTTCCTTATATCTAGGGTCTCTAGTTCGAATCAATGCTGCGAGATCGCGAAACTTTTAGTGCGATCGCTTTGGTCGCTTTGCGCTATAAGCGTCATTCTATCTTTTTCCCGTAGATAAACGATAAAGATAAAATGACGCTTAAGCGCCCAAAACGAACGCATCAAAATTTGGCGATCTCGCAACACTGGTTCAAACACGTTCGGATCTGATTTTTGTAAAATACGTATCTCGGTACCTTGGATGAAAAGGTATTAGATATAAGTCTGAGTTCAAGTAAAATAATAAGAAGAATCGGATACACCTGTAAATAATCTGAATGTTTCCCTTTTGCTCCAAAATGTAATAAATTTTCATAAAAGTAACGTGATACGTTGGAATAAGTGTTGGAGTATTTAATCGAGGTGTGTTCAATCTCTCGATTGCACGTGTCACTTTTTAAATATGTGTATATTTTTTTATTTTGTCGCACTTTGCAAGAATTTTTGGCATGCATCGCTTCGCTTCTGACATCGCAAATCACGATGATTATGGCGAGGGGCCAGGAACTTTGATTATCGAGTTTACATCAGTTATTAGAGAAATGTTTTTATGAGTTTATTCGACAAAATACTAATATCGGTATGTCATCAGTACAAAAATTTGTGGAGAACTTAATGTGTGTGTGTGTGTGTGTAAACTTATTCTCTTTTCTGGTTTACACCTTTCTGCAAGGCATTTTATGTAAAATTGATTGTTTTATACTATACTTGACAGAATTTACCTATATGAAGACTTAGTATCTTAAGACAATTCATCAATATCTTCTCAACATTTAAAAAAGAATGCTTTTTGACAATCAATAAAAAAAAAACTAGCTATAAACTAGCAGACAATTTCTTGTCCCAATGTACAAATCACAATGATATCAATAATTCCAAATGTATCTCAACTTTTTTCCAGCAAATAATTTTATATATTAAATCTGCTATTTTCTTTCTTTCTTTATGGATTGTCCATACTTGAGCAAGAGCAAGAAAGGAAAAAAGAAGCACGCATAGCTAAAAGAAAGCATAGTCACCGCCAGCACGAATCTATACAAATGTATATTATAAGAACTATTCCAAATTATCTTACAAGCCAACATTATACAAGTTGCTTCTGTGTGTGTATGTGTGTATATGGAAAAAATGAAATAATTATTTCCTCCTTAAAACAGAAGTAGCACTATAGATAGCGCACAGTACGTAAAGTGTTGCTTACGATATTATGCTGCTATGCCAATGAACTTGAGACAGATCAAAGCACGGGAAATGTTGATTATACAACAGTCTCAACTGATTTTACAACAGTAGTTTTTCAATTGGTACAAAAGAAAAAATATCTTAGCGATGAGAGAGAGAGAGAGAGAAAGAGTATAATAATTCATACCATTATCGTGCTCTATATCGGGTTTATATTGCGAGCCTTCATTTGCAGTTCAAAGCGCCGATTCGTCCGTACGCTCTTCAGCACCGTCCGCGTTTCATGTTGTTGCTTCTGTCTGCAGATATTTGCAAGTTCCACAATGTATTAGACGCATCTTTATCGTCGCATAAAGTTACATTTATAGCGTTCAATTGAATTATGGCATTACGTCGTAGATATTGTGCCGTACCTCGAGAAAACAGTTTGCTTCTTCAATATGACATGGGTAGCTTCTGCCTTCCTCAACTTGAACCCGAATCTGTTGTACGTGCCGTTACTTGTGTCACTGGGCAATAGCTTCATGCCTTTTTTTGCATCTACCTCGGAAAGAACTTTCTTTGTCGCTGCAATTTCAGTAAAATAAGAGAAAAGTACAAATAATACACCAGAGTATGTATATAAACTCTACCAAATTCCAGATGTCTGCTTTCCAAACGCTTTTTTGCGTCCACGACTGATTCAGACTTGGCAAACATCTTCTCATGCATTCTTTTGAAGTTTGGCACTTTTTTCACCGACGATCTTTTCTCTGTGAACAATTTCGTAACATTGAGAATACAGCGTAACGAACAGAACGATTAGATAAGATGGAACGATTGTAGCTGATTTGTACCAGAATTCTTTCCAACCGATTCGAGTCTCTTTGGTGTGGCTTGAATTTTGCCAAGACTCAGGCTCGCAGCGTTAAAACTGTGCAATCTTCCTCTCGAGGTGCTCATCCTCGAACTTGATTTCGCATTCAACGGAGAGGCCAATGATTCGTGGCTGAATTTACGAATCTCGATTCTTTTCGATTTGTGTGCTGAATTCATAATTGCAATATTCCTCTGTACGCCGCTGTTGCGCGTCACGCTTGACTGCCGATTGCCAATTGATTTGCTGATTGAATTATGCACACTGTTCCCGTCGGATCCTATATTTGCAAAGCGTACTCTGCAGAATTTCTTAGCGCTCGGCAAGTTTGCGTCTGCGGCGTTCACGGCAGTACGTTTTCTGATCATCTGTCGTAGACCCGGTGTCTGCGGATCCTTCAGTTCGTAAGTAACATCTCTCTTGCTGTTTTGGCTTTTATTAAGCTCAGTCACTTGGTCGACGTCGTGAACGGTGTCTTGTTGCGCGGTATTCGCAGCGTGAGCTTGACCGTGAGTATCGCCAACGTTCTCCGATATATCCACGTCCAATAGAGAAGGCATCTTCGACACATCTTGGATGGCCAGTGCAGCGTATATGCCAGACTGATTCGTATACCTCGACCTGGTATTCGGATATGCCGTGTCATCTTGTACCACCGACAGGGTGGATGTATCAAAGATCGGATTTGCTCGTGCTAACGGCGTCTTCTCCTCTTGCGGAGTGGACGACATCAAAGGTGTTTTGTTCTCTCCTCGCGTCGGCGAGGACAGCTTACCAGCGGACCTATTCGTCGTCTTAGCGGCGAAACTTCGACGAGAGCTTTCCCCCGCAGACGCGTCTGACGCTTCGGCAGATGTACTGCTCTCTGCGTCGATCGAACGATTTAACCGATTACTGCCAGCAGCAATCGTAAGCGTATCTGACTTACTGTCGAGCGACAACTTCCTCAGTAACACTACCGGTTCCGCTAGTACGTCTCTCATCTGCGAAGCCGTCAATAATTTCGCCAGTTTCGAATTCAATAACCGATGCTTGTCCGCTGATAAATTTCTGCTGTCACTTGACGATTCACCGAGACTTGGCGAGGTGCCGCTACTTGCGAAAGACCTCTTCGACGGTCTCTTTCTCTTATGTGCGGATACATTCGATTTAGGCGACTTTTTTGATGGGGACCTCAGTACAATTTTTGGAGATTTTGAGAATCTGTGCGTAATACCCTTTAGCTTTGCGCTAGACATTACGCGTTTACTCTTTGTTACCGATGACGCTGGCGAACGTTCCTTGGACATACCTCGCAGGCTGTCCTTTTCTGCCTTCCGTAACTTATTGCTGGAATCATTGTTGTACAAATTCTCCCCAGGCGTAAGGGACAACTTTCTCGGGGTTTTCAATAGTCTCGAGACCGACACTGAATGCGTCTTTGGAGAGCTTAAAGAAACTGGTGATTTTTTAGGTGTCTTTGTAGATCTGTGAGGCGTAAGACTAAGCTTGATGGGCGTGCTCTTAGGAGTGACCATACCAGACTGTTCATTTACACTTGGCACAATCATTTTTTGTTGCACCTTTTTAGGAGTTTTATTCAAATCCGCCGAATCAGTCCACTGAAAGAGATTATCGTCTGTAGATTGGATCGTGGAGACATTAGCGTTACTCCTCGATAATCTCTTTGATTCGTTGCAACTTTCATTTTTGTGTGCTTTACTCTCACTTTCTGCCCCCTTGACTATGTTAAAATTCCGGCTAGATGCCTTCTTCTTTTTAGATTTGCTAAGTGTTGATTTTGCATTAGTTGTCTTTTTTCTAGTGCTTTGCCCAGTAGTCACTTCCGAATTACTCTTTACATTCACAGATCTTTTTCCTCTCACTGATCGTTTATTTTCATCCCTTGATTTGGTCATACTTTCATTTAAACTAATCAATTTCTGTGCCTTGGCTCTAGTGGTAATGAAAGATTGCTCCATCGTATCTGAAAAATAACACATTTGTAACATGTTTTTCGCGGTAACTGGTTTGTTGCTGCTACAATAACACGGCGATGCGATCAAGGATTTATCAAGATAGACATCGACTCTTGGAAAATGTTTGAATTTCCGCAAAAATAATTATAAAATATGCATAAACATTATGTGTGAAGATGACCGACCGCAAGACGAAAGTTATAACCTTATATTCTGCCGATCTTGCTAAAGATATGGGTGGAATTTATTTACTTCTTACCTGCACTTGACAATTCACTCGGGTAACATTTACTCTCCCGATTTTGCTTTGTGATCTACCTGGCACAAAACACCTCGTACTCTTTGGTCAGTGAGCATTAAAACTTTTATGTGATCGTTACTTGTGTTACTCTCAAACGCCGTTTCCTGCAAAATATCTCGGTTAATAACATACTTGCGCGCGCAATTCGTTAGACAATCGTAGAGTTAAGCCTTATACACAATGCGAGGCAACAGACAATAGGTACTTTCCAATTGCTTAACACATCTTATGGCTCCTGCACACAGGACGCGGTAATGCTTGCCGCGCGGCGGAAGTTCGCGCGACAGCCAATCAATATGTTGTTTTTCCGTAAGAGCTAGAAGGTTATTACGGAAAGCAGCATATTGATTGGCTGTCGCACAAACTTCCGTCGCGCGGCAAGTGTTGCCTCCTGTGGGCAGGAGCCATAAGACGTAAGCAGTAAGCAAATTGACCAATCACAGTCGTTGATTCTTGGACCGTAAAAAAAATCAATAACTGTAATTGGTCAATTTGCTTAAGCGTCTTCTACAATGGCAGTAGGAGTAGTAGTAAGAAATAAGCAGTAAGCAAATTGACCAATTACAGTTATTGATTTTTTTTACGGTCCAAGAATCAACGACTGTGATTGGTCAATTTGCTTACTGCTTACGTCTTATGGCTCCTGCACACAGGACGCGGTAATGCTTGCCGCGCGGCGGAAGTTCGCGCGACAGCCAATCAATATGCTGCTTTCCGTAATAACCTTCTAGCTCTTACGGAAAGCAGCATATTGATTGGCTGTCGCACAAACTTCCGTCGCGCGGCAAGTGTTGCCTCCTGTGGGCAGGAGCCATAAGACGTAAGCAGTAAGCAAATTGACCAATCACAGTCGTTGATTCTTGGACCGTAAAAAAAATCAATAACTGTAATTGGTCAATTTGCTTAAGCGTCTTCTACAATGGCAGTAGGAGTAGTAGTAAGAAATAAGCAGTAAGCAAATTGACCAATTCCATTCTCACGTTTCAAAAATAATCGATTGTGATTGGTCTATTTACTTACTGCTTATTTCTTACTACTACTCCTACTGCCATTGTAGAAGACGCTTTATTGCTTACATCTTACTGCTCAAGTTTTTCTATGTGCCACCAGCTTAAGCGCATTGAAATGACATAACTGCATGTGCGTAGCATAAGACTGTATGGACCAATGAGCATCGAGTATTTAGCCGCCATATTGATGCTCAATACTTGATGCTCATTGGTCCATACAATATTATGCTATGCTATGTAGTTATGTAATTTCATGTGTGAGGATCCTTATTCTATCTTTATTGTTCATTATATACGGGAAGAAGATAGAATGATGCTTATGCGCATAAGCGCCCAAAGCGAACGCAATCTAAGCTTTCAGTGAGCGATTGGGTTCCGAAAGGCACTGCCTGTACTGAAAATCTATAGTTTATGTCACATATATTATAGAATTTCAATACTGACAGTGAATTTTGAAACGCAACCTGGAGTACTAGATACGCATTCAATCGAATTCGCACCGTAAGAAATAGCTAGATGTTCCCTAGCATTTATTTAAGCAGCTGACAGTTGGCCCGACTGCGCTTGATCGTCATCGTTTAAAATTCGAAGCTTTCAACGTAAAGCCGACAACGGCTGCTGGCGTGCTTTGTGTGGTGTAGCGGTAATTACTTCATTACATCGGTCTTTCTCGATTAGTGCACGCGTGAGGCCAGAATCACACATCAAAGGATTACGTTCGCTCGAAAATTGGAATAAAACTACTGACGAAACATACAGAAAGAGAGAGAGAGAGGCTGTTGGAGGCTCTTGAAGGCAGCATGTTGTGAAGGCTACGTAAGCAGCTTTTTTTGTTATTTTGCTTGCGTGTTTACTTATTTGCTTGCTTGTTTGTTTGCTTGCTTGTTTACTTGCTTGTTTGCTTGCTTGCTTGCTTGCTTGCTTGCTTGCTTGCTTGCTTGCTTGCTTGCTTGCTTGCTTGCTTGCTTGCTTGCTTGCTTGCTTGCTTGCTTGCTTGCTTGCTTGCTTGCTTGCTTGCTTGCTTGCTTGCTTGCTTGCTTGCTTGCTTGCTTGCTTGCTTGCTTGCTTGCTTGCTTGCTTGCTTGCTTGCTTGCTTGCTTGCTTGCTTGCTTGCTTGCTTGCTTGCTTGCTTGCTTGCTTGCTTGCTTGCTTGCTTGCTTGCTTGCTTGCTTGCTTGCTTGCTTGCTTGCTTGCTTGCTTGCTTGCTTGCTTGCTTGCTTGCTTGCTTGCTTGCTTGCTTGCTTGCTTGCTTGCTTGCTTGCTTGCTTGCTTGCTTGCTTGCTTGCTTGCTTGCTTGCTTGCTTGCTTGCTTGCTTGCTTGCTTGCTTGCTTGCTTGCTTGCTTGCTTGCTTGCTTGCTTGCTTGCTTGCTTGCTTGCTTGCTTGCTTGCTTGCTTGCTTGCTTGCTTGCTTGCTTGCTTGCTTGCTTGCTTGCTTGCTTGCTTGCTTGCTTGCTTTTCTGCCTGCCTGCCTGCCTACCTGCCTGCTTACCTACCTATCTACCTACCTATTTACCTACTTACTTGCTTACTTACCTATGTACTATCTATCTATCTTATTTACCTATTTATCTATCTATCTGTTTATCTGCCTACACGCCTACCTATGTACGTTTTTACTAATCGCTGAACAGTGAGACTGATGAAAATCTTTTTCAGCAATTCAGAGGTGTTGATGCAACAAGAGTAGACGCGGACGTGCGTCACGTGGAGCAGCATGGTTTTTGGCAAAAAAGACACAACGAAGGCGAGCTCGCCTAGTAGAACAGACGCAAGGAAAGTGTTGTCAAAGTCAAACGCGAGCAGCAAGACAGCCGCGAAGGCGTCCACGCGAGCAAATGCATCCGAAATTTCGATCAAAGTGATTGTGAGGATCCGGCCGCACAACGAACGAGAGCTACAAGACAACAGCAGAACTGTCATCGAGACTGTGGATGACAAAATGTTGATCTTCGATCCAAAGGAGAAGGAGACACCCTTTTTCTTCCATAATGTAGCTCAACGAGGTAGGGATATGCTGAAGAAGCAAAACAAGCATCTTCAGTTCATCTTCGATAGAGTCTTCGACCAAACATCCGTGAACACGAACGTCTTTGAGGGCAGCACCAAGAGTCTAATCGGCAACCTCCTGGATGGCTACAATTGTTCCGTATTCGCATACGGTGCCACTGGTGCCGGCAAGACTCACACGATGCTGGGTAACAAAAACGATCCTGGCATCACTTATCTCACAGTGGCGGAGCTCTTCTCAGAGATCGAGAAGCAGAGCAGCCATCGTGAGTTCCAGTTGAACGTTACTTATCTGGAGATCTATAATGAGAATGTACAGGATTTACTGCACAAGTCGGGTCAGCTGCAGCTGAGAGAGGACGGCAGATGCGGCGTCGTGGTCGCCGGCCTCAAGCCGATTGCCATTCGAGGCGCCGAGGAGTTGCTGTCGCTTCTGGCGGAGGGCAACAAGAACCGCACGCAGCATCCCACGGACGCGAATAAGGAGAGCAGCAGAAGCCACGCGGTCTTTCAGGTGTACATCGAAATAATCGACAAACTGGACAGCCAGGTCCAGCGTGTGAAATTGTCAATGATCGACCTGGCAGGCTCTGAGAGAGCGTCCGCCACCGGCTGCAAAGGCGTGAGGTTCAAGGAGGGCGCCAACATCAACAAGTCCCTGCTCGCTCTTGGCAATTGCATCAACAATCTCGCGGACGGCACCAAGCACATACCATACAGGGACTCAAAGCTCACGAGACTGCTCAAGGATTCGCTTGGCGGCAATTGCCGTACCGTTATGATCGCCAATATCGGCCCTTCCAGTCTCACTTACGAGGACACGTATAACACTCTGAGGTACGCGAATCGGGCCAAAAAGATCAAATCGTACGCCCAGAAGAATGTGTCGTGCGAGACACATATCGCCGGGTACATCAAAATAGTGGAGGAGCAGAAGAAGGAGATCGCCATCTTGAAGGCGCGACTCGCCGTGCTGGAGAGCGGCGCGCAACCGATGATTCTCACGGATAGCGAGCGACCGAGCAAACAGATGCTGGAAGCGCACAACAAGCTATCCAAGTTGTATAGCAGGAAGAAGGATCTGATCGAGAGGATGCTGGTCCTAGAAAGCTCCGACAAAATATTAGCCTGCAGGATACTCTACAAGAAGGACGCGGACGAGAGGCTGCGCAATCTGACCGCTGCCGACGACACGCTACCGTCGGACGAGCAGAACGCCAGCGGCAAATCGCGTATCAACAAGTCCCTCCGTTACTTCCAGCGGCAAAGAGACTCGCTCAAGACGCTGACCGAAGCGGCCTGGCAGGAGCTGTGCTCCGTGGATGCGGAGATACAGAGGGTGGCGGCCGGCAAGGACAATAAGCAGCTCGATGAATGCCTGCGAGACAAGCTGTCCCTGCAGAACTGTGAGATTGAGAGATGCTGGATCTTCGGTATGCGGCAACACATCAGGAAGCTCTGCGGCCTGCTGCAATGCGAGAGGCAGTCAGTCAACACCATCACAAGAAACATGAGCGCGACACTGCAAAACTATTACAACATGGTGAAGGGCTACGGCACGATGACCGAGCGCATGCAGGCAGAATTCAAGGAGCTGGTTAAGCTGCTCGAAGGCTTTCGCAATATCAAGTGGTCAGATTCCGATGCGCCGGTGAACGACGCTGGAGACTTCGACGTATTTGCCTGCCTCAGCACGATCGGAATGGACTCGTTTGGTAGCGCGATGCCACCGGCCGCGATCACGCCGGAGCTTAACGAACAGGAACGCGATGTTCGTGGTGTCTTGAATACCACTTTCAACGCCGGCGACATCTCCAACTCGAGCGACGAATCCAACGCTTCTACTGACAAACCCGTGTCAGGGACTTTGCCCAAGAAGAACGTCGCGAGGGTGATCAGGAAGCGTCCGCTCTCCGACAAGAATCAGGAGAGCACCAGCACGCCCGTCAAGCAGACGAAGAAGCATACGAGTAACAGTAAGACTATTGCGCCTGGTGGCGGTCGCGCGGGCAAGGAGAATGTGCACAAGCACAGGCTACCTACTCAATTGAGCGCCAAGAGTATCGCTATTTTGAACAAACTGAAGGAGGCTAATTCCTCGTCCGGCAACGAAGAAGGAACAGACGTGACGTTTAAAACGGTGCGCAATAAGGAGAGGCGTGCTCTCATGACCACACATCCGTACCAGAAACCGGCCCTTGGGAGGAAGTAAGTGATTTACATCGTTGCGTCATGTATTAACGCGTGGATTGTACAGCTTGATTGTATTGCAAATAAATGTCAATTGAAACGCGCGCGTATTTTTTTTGTTTCTTTTTTACTGGACGTTTCATCGACTCTCGACCGCGCGAGCATCATAGTCACTGCATTCGACGTGTCAACTCGCTTTCATTTCAATCCTTCCCTCGAACTCTATATGACGCGAAATATACATGGCACATGTTCTATTGCAGACACACTCCAGCTCCACCGTCCAGCAGAGTCCCGTGGTGATCCTAAATGAAGACTTAGCATTTTTGTATCTTTTGGATATCTTTTGTACGTAAGGTCAGAGAGATAATAGACTTTTAAATGTCGTACAAAGTCAGCAGAGAGAGTAAGGCTTTCTCCCTCTTTCCTTTTTATTAATAATTGATTTTTCAATTTAATCTGTATCCCTGTGTCGTAGACATCGCTAGCTTTACATCCCGAGCAAAAGTTGCTCTATATTGTAATGTGACAACATTTTAATATTATATTATTGTGTGTTTTCTGTAGGTTATTATAGCGTATTATTTTACACGATGACATTTACGTATACATATATATATATATATTTATAATTGTGCAAGCAGACATCTGTGTATGTTAGGAAGAGCAGAATAACAAATTTCGCAGTGTCGCTTCACTTAATTTGTACATGATGTAATTACATATTTTTAGAAATTATTCGAGGTTGACTTCAAAAGGTCGCAGACGAAACGGTAAATGGCGCTTCGTAATAGTACAATTTTAAACAACATTTAGGACTAGATTAGTTAAAACCTCGCATAATATACTTTATTATACATAATACACTTTAATGTTAGTTTGTTCTTCGAAACTACATCGTTCGATGTTGCCTAAGAGCTTTGTGTAATCTATCGACAAAGTATAATGCAATAATTACTACCAAAATACTATACGCGTGTTGACTTTGAATTACGGAGATTTATGTCGGACAAACTTCGAATGTCAAATAAACAAGACGAAAACAAAGAAAGAATAACTTGGGTTTTATTTTCTTTCTTTTTTTATTTTTCTTATGCGTGTATGTGTGTGTGTATGTTGAGATGACATTACAGAATTCTCATCGTGTCGATATCTCCGAGTAACTTTAAGAGAATTATTTGCAGGAACGCTAAATGTATTTCATCTTACGATGAGAAACGAGAACGTGTCAGTCATTCGCATCCAAATTGAGACTTTCCTGAAAAAGTGTTATTAATGCAATTTTGGATCGCCCGTGTTTTTATATTCTCAATTCGAGAGAATAGAGCATACTCACGTAGTTTCGCAAGGCACGCGACACGTGTGTTGAGATTTCGGGGATCGTCAGGTCCATGTCCGACGACCGTCGCCGACCACTGACTATCGTCGGCAACATCGATCTCGAGCGATCGTAGAGCGAAGCAAACGACTGCAATAAGAACGCCAAAAATGCCAATGACGCTAGCACGCTGATAGGATCGAAGGTGCTAAAAGAATCCAGAATCTCGCTGTTGACAACTGCCGCCACGAGAGACAACTTCGATTTTACGCTGACTTACTGATAATGAGCCGGCGATGCAAACGAGCCGAATCCGCTGTAATAACTGCGCCGGAGGTAATTGGGCTGCTGCGACGTGGCGAAAGTTTGCGAATCCGAGTAAAACTGCGCGTCATTTCTCGGCTCGATCGTGTTCGATAAATCACATAGAGGCGGATTCCTACAAGATAACACTCGACTTGCGCTTGCAGCGTGCTTCGATAGCTGCGTCTCGCATAGAATAACGTCGAGCCAAGCACTGACCAAGAGCGCAATAATCTTCAACATTTTCCTCACTTAGGCTCGAGCTTATTTATTATAGGCGAGATCGATACAATTATTTAAAAATACAAGCGTTACTGTCACTCTCGCGCGGCACGTTGCACCGTCGAAAATTTCTATCTTGCATCTCGAAGGTGAAACGACTCGGATCTGCGAGATACTTGCTCGCATATATAAACGACGTCGAAAGGGGGAGACAGAGAGAGACAAACGATACCGAGCGCGCGTTTCCGGTCGATTCTTCGTACGCCCTAGTTGTTTTTCTTCTTTTATTCAAATCGCAATTTCGCCGTCAATTCGCGCACGATTATGGACACGATTACGGATCTCCGACTCGCTCTACCGGCACGTTCATTCTGTAACGAGCGTGAAATTACGTAAATTGAATAGGACATTACTTGCAAAAACTACAAAGAACGATGGATATCGCTGTCGGACGAAAGACAAGAGAGAAATTCACCCAAAGACATCTCTCTACGAGTGAATTTCTTGATTTAAAAGAAGAATCGCTGTCGAACGAAAGAGACTTCTCTCTACAGGAATAGAGTTTACTTTGCTGAAAATAATCTGAAACAAAAAAGAATCGCTCACGTAATAATTACAATTTAGCTTTTATTGTCGCTCTTAAAGTTTAACAAGTTTTTCACGGCTTCTTTGTACTTGTTGATTGAGTACTGATCCTCCCCGTTGTTTATAAGATCCGAAACTGCAATCTTGTATTCTGTCGCATGCGGAATGGTCTCGTAATCGTAATCTGTCGGCGGCTCGGGCCATCTGTACAGTGTCACCAGACTTTTGCGACTCACACTCGAGTCCCAATCAAAGTATTCCATGTCGGCTAGAGATTTCTCAGCTTCCCACGGCTCCACTCTCTGAAATTAAAGATTTTGTTGAATATATATCAGAGAGCAATAAGGGCCAAACTCGTCTTGAAGAAAATCGACCGCGACTCGAAAAGCATTGAGTGACAATTTTTCAGTTCAATTACAATTCCATCTACTTTTTCTTTTTATACTTTTATTAGATTTACCCAGGATTCGTGGTACACTGCCGTGAGGAGGTACCGCGCGTATTCCAGATTTTGCTTCCTAGCCGGACATCTGTCAGCTGTGATGGTTATCACGCCCGTTTCCGTATTGTATCTGTCTCTCAGTAGTCGCAGCAACTTGTCCTTAGCATGAGTGTCCAGGTGAAGGGAAGTCAGTTTGATTTGCAGGCTTACAATTCTGGCAAGCGGCTCCCGTATAGTAGGCGAGGAGTAACAATAGTCGGACGTGACGATCTCGACAGGGAAATGCTCGGTGCACTTGTCGTCGGTGTCGAGAGCTGCGGGCCACTCGGTGCAGAACTGCTTCAGAGCTTCGCAGTGCCTGCGAATCGCCGGCGGTGTGAGGTGCAGAAAATTCGGTATTTTCATGAGCTCGGCGTTAGTGTGTTTGTCGGGCGGTGCGTCTTTCTGCATGTAACCCTGTCGTAACGGCAGCGGCACCGAGGCGGGATGAAAAGTTCGCGCACCCGGCCAAACCGACGTCCAGTCCTGATCAGTTGGCATCTCGGTCGTTCTCGCTGGCGGCACTCGGACTTTTTGCGCTTGTTGTTTCCGTAAGACTTTCTTCCGCGAGTACAGCTCCAATACGCGGAATTCTGAAAACAACTCGCTTGACAATCTTGACACACACACGTGGAAGTAGAGATAGAGGACTGACTTGTACCAAATTCGTAAAACGTCGTCAACGTGGAAAATGAAAGAAAAGGCAGTTTGTCATTCAAACGAATTCATAACCTACACTTCGAAACACTACCGATCAAACATTGTATGTCCTACCAATAGACTACGACGAGATTATTAATTACACAGCTAGAGCTACAATGCAATTGACAATTGTGTCGGTTGATTAATTGTCGAATTGGTTTGACTGTAATCTGGCGAAAGTCAGTCTGGATTAGAGAGGCAGCTATATACATCGTACTAACGTTCTGGCCGCGACTCACTATCCACCTGCGAAACGTTCGCGTAACCTGCAATGAGTTTAAACAGCAAACTATGTTGCACGAGTCTGGCGTCGAGTTTGCGAGTTATCAACAACATCTTTTTATACTTGAAACAGTCGTGTACAGTTTTACAAAACTATAACCTCCTGTTCTGTGTTGTCGATACGAAACTCTAGTATCCAACCTGACCTAAGCTCTTTCTCTCTGGGTGCCATTATGGTTGCGTTCCGTTTCACGCATTATGCGCGCATTGCCTACAATATATGTAACATGAACTATAGATAAATGCGCGCATATGCGTGAAACGGAACGCAGCCTATATGAAACGCGGAAATGTGAAACGCGGAAGACAAAATCTAGACCCGCTACGCGTTCCGCGTTTGTTTTGATTGCCTCATGATTGCCCATTTTCACCATCTCCAGTTACCTTAACTACTGGTTAAAGTGCACGGTGATTGGTTATACTTGTTAAACGACAAGTACGATTGGTCAGTTCCAACGGAATAACTAGCCGGTTAAGGTAGTCGGAGATGGTGAAAATGGCTATTCGGCCATGGGCCGGAAATTCTCTGCGGAACGGAACACGCGGAACCAGTACGACCAATTACAGCCGTCCCGCTCTTTTTTGTGCCGTTTCGCTATAATCTTACCGCTGCAATTTTGCGGAAAGGATAAAGATAGTCGCGGATAACCTCAACATATCTTACATATCTCATTTGCTTCTTATACATTTATTATATATGTATATATATATATATATTTTTTCTTTTTTTTTTTTTTTCGATATTCTTTATTATTTCGTTTAGAAATGATAAGTGGAGGGATCGTAAATAATAAGATGTTAATATTTTGATAATTGTAATAAATAATTATGTATAATATGTGAATATGTTTATATGTTTAATTAACAGCCACAGTCAACAAAAATTACATAATATATTTTCCATAATTAATCATAGCAGATCTCACTTTATTATACATCATAATGTATCACCGCAATTCCGTTGATGTACTTTTCCTTCTGTCCCATAAAGCGGTAAACGCGGCAGCGGAATTATGTTTTAGCTAATCGTAAAATAGTTGCATATTTTCGTAAAAAGTATTTTACTAATTTTACTAAACTATTTTACTAATTTTACTCTTTATCATATATTATATCATTTGTATAAAATATTAAAATTATTAAAAATGTAAGAAATAACATTAAAAAGTCTACTTTTTGTATTATTCCACGTGATCCGCTTCCGCGTATTCCGCTCCATGGGACACAAGGAAAATAGAAAAAACGCCGGAAGAAAAACGGAACTGCTGTAATTGGTCGTACTAACTCCGCACGTTCTGTTCCGCTGAAAATTTCCGCTCCGTGGGACCGTGGCGCCCTAAGGGCGCGTAAAAAACAATAAAGAATGTCGAAAAAATATATATATATATAATAAATGTATAACAAGCAAATGAGATATGTAAGATATGTTGAGGTTATCCACGACTATCTTTATCCTTTCCGCAAAATTGCAGCGGTAAGATTATAACGAAATAACACAAAAAAGAGCGGAACGGCTATGATTGATCGTACTAATTCCGCGTGTTCCGTTCGGCGGAGAATTTCCGCCCCATGGGACGTCGGCCTTAGACTGAAATCCCATGGCATGTATTTTCCGCGTACCGCGTAAACGCGTAACCAATAAATTGCGACGTTTAGTATTTCTGTTGGAACTTCTAAAAGAATAGAAAGATATGATTGGTTACACGGTTACGCGAAAAGACGTGCCATTGGACTCCATCCTTATATTACATGAGGCATATTTTGAGCGGAAAAGCGGTATGGGGAATTATAAAATATTAATTTTTAACGGTATTTATTAATTAAAATGCTTGTATTCAACAGATGAGCTGAAAAGATAAATTTATTAGTAAAAATTGCAGTAAATTAAGTGAATACAATCTTAAAAAATGAATACAGATGTTTATTTGTCCACAAACCGTTCCGCTTTTCCGCGTAACAGTGCGTTCAGATGGAGGAAGAAATAGCGGAACGGAACAATTACGGAAAAGAGATATGGTTGAGGTCAGCCAATTAGAGTAATTCCGTTTTTATTCCGTTCCGTTGTTTGATAGGTGGATTTCACATGGGACGGGACTGTTACGGAACGGAACAAAAATGGAAAACATTCTAATCTATCGACATCGAAAATTGTGAATGTGGAGAAGTGTGTCCGGTTTGTAACGTGTTTCTCGCGACAGAGAAAACGAAAAAACTGTTTATTATCGCAAGTCAGCGAATGTTTGAGAAGTATCATTGATATTTACTTAGGTATATCAATGATACATTTAAAACACCGGAAATTCAAACATTGTTTCATTGATATAAATAAGTAAATATCATGATACCTCTCAAAAATTCGCTAAGTTGCCATAATAAATAGTTTTTCCGCGAGATTTCTCTGTCACGAGAAACACGTTATAAACCGGATACACTTTTCCATACTTCGCAATTTTCGATGTCAATAGATTAGAATGTTTTCCGTTTTTGTTCCGTGCCATGTGAAACCCATCTATCAGACAACGGAACGGAATGAAAACGGAATTACTTTGATTGGCCCCCTCTATATCTTTTTTCCGTAACTGTTCCGTTACGCTATTTCTTTCTCCTGAACGCACTCTAAAGCCCTATGCACAATGCCAGGCGACAGGCAATAGGAATAGACATTAGCCAATAGGAACAGGAAATAGAAATAATTGACCAATCTGATTTCCTATTCCCTGTTCCTATTGCCTGTTGTCTGGCATTGTGCATAGAGCGTTACTGTTGTCAATTTGTGTTTGGAGGCCTGTTCTACAATACGTCGTATGTCGCTGTCGAATGTCGGAGTACAGCTGATGGGCCAATCAGAGGATTTGTTTTTCAAGACAAGTTCTCCTTATTGGACCATCGACTCTGTTCCGACGTCCGACAGCGACATACGACGTATTGTAGAACAGGCCTAACCGCCGTTACGTTAAGACGTGTTCGAACACGTTCGGACCTAATTTTTTGGAATACGTATCTCGGTACTTTGGATGAATAAGCAATAGAGATAAGTTTGAATCCACAAGTACAATAATAATAATAAGAAGAAGAATGTATCTGAATTGTATTGACAAAAGTCAAGTTGGATGTCTGTTTGACTTTCAGTCGGTATATTATTAACAAAATTCATGTCTACCGGAGAATATCTATTTATAATTGCTCGTATTTTGAGTTCTCTTTTAACGATAAATGAGCCTTTAAAAGAGGCTTAGGAGCCACCTGATTGGCTGAAAAGCTACATTTAAGGTTTTTATCGATAAAAGAGGATTCAGAATATGGGCCAATGTCAGTTTCTTTATTTATCACTCTTTATTTATCATTCTTTATTTATCACTCTATTCTTAGCAAAAATTTCGGTAAATATGCGGTATAACGCCTCAATAAAAAAAAAACAAAAAGTGAGCGATAATTTTTTTCAGAAATCAACTCTATGCGTAAAAATATACAAATTTACAAAGTTTGAAAAAAATCCAAGGTGGGGGCGTTATACTGCATATTTACCAAAATTTCCAACGTTGTCAAAGATCAACCGTATTCGTTTAAATTTATTTCGATATGTTTATTGCCCTCGAAAATGTCCTTATATAAATCTAGCCGTCTCTTAAACGTCTCGACGTACTTTTACATGAAAATGATCTCGCAAACAGAAAAAAAGATCGCTCGCGAGGGTAAACTTTTTTAAGTGTTACCTTTTAAGGTTAAAAAAATTTGTGGCTGTGTTACGCGCCGCAATCTCATTAATCTTCATAATATAGACGAAATATTTGGTAACAATTTGTAATAATATTATTAATTTCGTTATTATTGAGGTGAGCACGATTGTGTCCAGACAAAGGAATTGTGTTTGCATTTTCAAGGTAATCAAACGCGTTGCACCTATTTCCCAGATAAGCCAGAAATGTTTTGAAAGATGTCTTTAAAAGCATGCGCTGTCTGAGTAGTCTCGTTTTGCACATAAACTGTGTGTTTAAATGGACCTCAAATTCTTGTCCACACGTGACTAAGTGAGTCGTAAGTGAAGGTCGTAGAGATATCACGGGATGTTGACCCTTAGTTCCTTTTTAACGGTTAATGATCGATAGCAATAGTCCCCATTATTCTCATACCCTCCGAGCCCATTTGCAGTACAGGCTTCAATCCGGTTCCAGTGGCCCTGAAACACGATCTTCAATTTTATTGGCTAAAGCGCCTAATGTCACAAAGGTAGACGACCGTCCGGGGATGAATGCAAAGGGGAGATGTTTCATTGGTTACGACATCATATATAAGATTCCGAGAGCGTGCGTTCCACTTTGTACGAGCAGTGTCTTTCTCGAGCTTGTGTGTGAACAAGCATATATCGGTGCCCTTCTTTCAAACATTTCAAACGTTGTCGAAAGTAATCATCACATTATAACAATGAATAAGCAAATTATTATTCTTTTGAGCTTAGGTATCGTAGCTTTTTGCGAGGGCAAAGAACTTTCGGACCTTTTGCAAGATGAAAAATTCGTAGAAAACGTAAAGAACTGTATATTGGATAAAGAAACATGCGACGACATGGGATTTAAAGTGCGAAGTAAGATATATTTTATGTTTATATATATTCTGTATCGCACGCGCGCGTCTCTATATATTCTCTATATATTTTTTTTGTCTATAATACATTGCGATTTACACACACGCGATGTCTCTTGATAAATGTAAATTTACAAATCGCGCTTACAAAATCATGCCTTTCGCTTGCAAAGTAACTATGTTGATATCGAAGGGATCTAATGATTTCGTTCTCTTGCTGAAAATCAACATTCACATATGATCTGTTTTGTGTATATACAGATGTTCTACTGCCTGAATTGATCAGCAGAGATTGCGAAAGTTGTAGTCCTTCTTTGAAGAAAGATGGGCAAACGTTACTGGCGCTTCTGAAGGAACGATATTCTACCGAGTGGATTATTATCTCCCACATGTACGATCAGGAGATCTACGATATTCCTGGCTATTACACGACTCCGCTGATGCCACCGCTATGAAAACCGACGCGCAGTTATTTTTACAATCTATTCTTTAACATATTTGTAAAAAGTACTCTGAATATTAAAATATTTCATACATATATAAAGCCTTCAAATACACACGGATTTTTTCTCAATCTGCATGTTGTGTGTGCATGTGCTCTAACCTAATCAGTAAATTACGATCAAATTGTTAAAATTTATCGCGTATTGATATGATTATCTAACGGTTGTCCTTTCCGACGAAAAAGAACGGCGATATTTCAATTACATCAACAGTCCTTCCAACGCTATATACGAAGATGAAAAGATTTCAAATGTATACATAATGTACTCTTCTCGCTGTGTTTCTACATTTCTAGTTTACGCGAATGTTTACATATCGATATGGATGTTAGAGACGTTTAGAAAAACTCGAAAGAGCTTGAATTGTTTGGCGACACCATGACGATATCAATATGTAGCTGCGAATCTATCGATACAGATAGAGGGATCGTTGGAACGACTTTCTCCTTCGTGTGTTATATCCACACGTCTCAACGTCTTAATGATAATCGTACGCTATAATCACGCGAAAACAAGCTCTTGAACTTCCTCGTTAGGAAGTTACGAATCTCTCCGTATAGGATTCGCAAAGACCACAGCAAGACGGTATTTTTCAACTATCGCTGCTAAGAATATACACGATTAAATAATTCTCTTCTGATGCAACTCAACGATAATGCGGGTCAAAGACTTGATGCGTCATGAATATCGATGGAACGGATCGTAACGTTGTCGCGATGACAAAGAAAAAACAGACCGTATATCCAAAGAAAAAATTAGGCAAGAAAGTCGAATTTGCTCGCATTTTCGGATGTTTTTACATAATCCTGCATATTATCTCTCTCACTCGAAATTATGGAGCCAGTTCGCAAAGTCTGCATTTTGTGTATCGACACGATGCTGTATAGGTGACCGAGAATCTCGGTAATTTAATGAACAAATATATAAACGTTATACTTTGCAAAATACACACACGTACTACAATGCTGGAACGCGCGTCAGAAACGGTCAAGTGCACGTATACTTCTTCTCCGTTTAGGCTTCCCTATACCCGACGTCCACCCGACCTCCACTCGACTATATAAAAGCTAGAGTCGCCGCTGTACGATCCACACAGTCGTGGATTCTCAATCACGGACCTTTCAATTCTCGTCCGCAGCGTCTCAGTCAAGCTTCCGCGTCAAGATACGCTTATTCTTCTGCATCGACAATCCTTACGGAATACGATGAAGGGATTTCTCTTGGTTTCGCTGGCCTCGCTGATCGCCTTGGCCATTGCCGCCGAAAAATATCCTGAGAAATATGACAACGTGGACGTGGACAGAATTTTACTGAACAATCGTGTCCTCACTAATTATATTCGGTGCTTGATGGACGAGGGACCCTGCACCGCCGAAGGTCGCGAACTGAGAAGTGAGTATAATATAATAATACTATTAAAAATATATTAAAGCTTTTTAAATAATAAGTTGTGTGTGTAACGCTAAGGATCGTGATAAATAATCTTCCGTAGCATATTCGATGCGAAAAGAAATCAGCTCGCCCATTAGACATTATAAAATAATAATAATAATATAAATTAGATAGAATAATTTGTTGCATCCGCGGGTCAATTCCCAATTGTGTGGATATCCCCAACTTAAAATTCAGCGTCTCGTTCGCGGTGGAGGAAAGAACGAGTTCTCTCACTAATGAGCTCGTGTTCAAGAATGACAAGAAAATACTTAACTATTTCGTTCTTTCCGCACGGATCAAAGTTATCCTCGCCGCTTCCTCAATTTGCCAATTGGAAAACACACGTGACTGACTGCAATTACGACAAAGTTCGACACGTACTCTCTCCTCATTACATAATGTCGTCCACCGTGGACTTTCTCATACAAGCATTGCATTCGGTCTACTTTAGTAATCGTCTATATTACACACTTGAGATTGAAATTATTTCAAGAGAAAAGTACGGCAGTACCAAAGGATATTGTATACATTCGATACTTTACGATTCGCTTCATCGCAAAAAATCATGTAGCAATAAATTGATGATATTGATGATAATTGTGCACCAGAGGCCAATAAAAAGATATATATATATATATATATATATATATATATATATATATATATATATATATATATA